TTTTTTTCCTACATGCTATTTGGCAACTGTAGTTGCTGCAATTCAGAAAATGCTAATGGGTAGAGGCCAGAAGAATGCTCAACACCCAAGAGTGCACAGGGCGCCCCATCACAGAGGATTATCCAGCCCCAACCTCAACAGAGAGGAGTTGAGTTGGAGTTAGCAGCTTAGACTGTTTACCTGTGTCATATAAGACAGTTTTAGTGCTGAGGCGTGGCTCCAGAGGTAGAGCACCTGCCTAGCAAGCACGAGAGCCTGAGTTCAAACCCTGACAGATTAAAAAAATATAATAATAACATAAGACTTGTTTTTACAGCTGTGTGAGCCAAGAGCTTCTCAGGTTGCTACTTGATAAGAAAATGATTAGCACTTGCAAACAATTCCACCCAGCTGCCAACATGGCATCGTTTTGTGACTAAGAGCCCCAAACTGTCAGTAAAGGTCAACCGTCCAGGAAGTTCTGAGAAATGGGGTTTTCTCATGCCAGGGGGAAATCCTGTGGCATGGAGAGCCTGCTCCCTTGCTGTGTGCCCTTCCCCCACCAGTTTGTGGAGGAGGAGGGTGATGTTCAAACCACCGTGCTCTAGATCTAAGCTCATCCTCTGAAGAAAGGCCATCTGTCCATCCTCTGCTCCTCCACCTCTCTGCCCTCCCTCTCTCCTTCTCCCTTCTTCCCATCCTTGCAGCTGTCATCTACCTATCCATCTATCCTCCACCAATCCTTCCATAAATCTATCCGTCCCTCCATCTATCATTACATCCATTCCTCTCTCTATGCTTTTCTCCCACCTTCTAACAAATACTAATGTACACCATGCATCGCTCAGTGTTACAGATGCTCAGAGACAATGGTAAACAAGCAAGACAAGGGCTCTGACCTCATGGAACTTATGAGAAAGGACTTGGACAACTGGCTTATCTATGACACTGACCTCCTTACAAGTTCTTTGACTATGTTCTTAGAACCAAAGATCTTACAAATTAAAAAGAATTTCGAAGAGCACTGATGCTTCCCAACAGGAATGCAAAAGGCAAGGCTGGCTCAGACACTGCCAGTCAGAAAGCCCCTGGGGGCAGGAAGCACCAGGGATGGGGCCATTTTAAGCCCACTCCCTTATTCTGCAAGAGCCAGTCTCAAGGTGGCTCACAGCAGACTGGGGCACACTTGGTGGTATGCAGGTGACAACTCATGAGCCCACACAGCCCTGAAAATGCAAACTGCAGAGTGCAGTGCAAAATGCCCCCAACAGGAGCCCCAAATGAGCAAGCAGTGCTCAGGCCAACCCCACCTCGCCCTCAGAAGCCACAGGCCCCCTGCTGAGCAGAAGCGTGACTCAATGAATGCCTTTTCTGCTAAACACAGAGGCTGGCCCAAATCACGTGAGGTCTGCTTTAGCTCTAAGATATGGGGCAAAAATGTCTCTTTGGATGGAGGAGGTCTGCTATGGTGTGAATGTGTCCCCCTGAAGCATGTATTAGAAACATAATCCCAATGCCACAGTGTTAAGAGGTGGGACCTTTAGCCAGGAGGGAATTAATGCTCTCATCTCGAGAGTGGGTTTGTTATCATGGAAAGGATGAGTTTGGATCCCTCTTACGCTCTCTTTTTCTTGTGCCCCCCCTTCAAAATTATTTCTAATAGTATATATTAATTGTACAAAAAAGTGAGGGGGTTCGTTGTGATATTTCATGTAATGTACTTTTATCAGTCACACTCCATCTTCTCCCTTCTCCCCCATCCCCTCTTTAATACTTTCTTGCAATGTTTAAAAATGGCTTTCATTATGACCTTTTCATCTGTGCATGCAATGTGCTTTGATCATGTTCCCCTCCTTTTCCTCCTCCTACCTCCTGCTGGTCCCCCCTATAACACCCCTTTTATGCCCATGTCCATTTTTTTAAGCTCTAGATTTCACATGTGAGACTCTCACCCCACTTGCCCTTCCTCCTTCTGCCATGAGATGATGCAGCACAAAGGCTCTTGCCAGATGCTGGCCCTTGACCTTGAATTTAGCCTCTACAACTGCAAGAGATAAATCTCTGTTCTTTATAAATGATCCACTCTCAGGTATTCTGTCATAATGGCACATCCTGGACCAAAAACCTACACTGGAGGTGGAGCCTCAGAGCAGTGCTTCTTAGACTGTGAGATACCAGGAACTGCCTGGGCTCCTGCTGGCAGCAGACCCTGGACCAACGGGCTTGGGTGGGGCCAGAGACTCTGCATTTCTAACAGAGTTCCTGTGTGTGACCACACACAGACCACACTGGGTGGAGTTGGGGCTTAGAAGTCTTTAAAAAAAAAATTTATTGTCCTCAACCAGAAGACTCTGAGCAGGGTGATCTAGGTGCTCTGTCACCTTGGTACTGAATAAACACTTCTTAGCATCAAGCAGGAGAAAGCAATCCATGTTGACTGGTTTTAGGACATCTCAGCTCCTGACTCTTTTAGGGTCTCTGACCACCACTATGCATAAAAGACTCATCGGAGACAAATTCCAGACAAATACCCTGACACCCTTGGAGCTGGCATCCAGCAACTGGAATTCTAGAGTTCAGATGTCACTTTGCAGGGTCCTTCTCCTCTATCCCCGACACCTGGTCTGTCAGCAATTCTGCTGTCTGTGCCCCAGGGGTCCTTCTCCCTGGCACCCTCTACCATCCTGGCTGAGACTGTGGTCCTCACACCAGCCCAGGTGAAATCCATTGCACTCCCCTCCCCAGCTCACCCACTTGGCCCCTCCCTGGCCCAGAGCCCACCTGCTTCACCTTCATTCTCATCTACTCCTGCTCTTGAGCCCGTGCTCTTGCTCTTCCTTCCCCTCCCACCAGCAGGGTGTCTGTCCCTATCCCAGGTGTGAAGGCAACTGGGGTATCTCACTGTCAATTTTGTTACCCTCTCCTATACCAGGTACCTAGAAACCGCCTTTGCTAAAACACACTGACTCCTCACTTGAGCCCACAAGCAGGAGAAAAGCCTGACATCCCTCCCTCCATTTTGCACCTGTCTCCTTTGCTCTGAGTCTCTCTTCTGCAGGAACCTTGGGTTCCAAGGAAGAACAGGACTGATTGAAAACATCTTTATGACAAGGAAACGAAACCACCTCCAAGGAAAGAACAGCAGAGTCTGACAGAACAGACCACTCCGAAATGAGGACAATTACTCTAAAGATGAGGCTGCATCCTGGAGCAGGAGCAATCATTTCATAGGAACCACATTGCTCCCGAGTGATGACAGTGATAACAACTTCTCCAGAACCCCTCACAGAACCAGGACTGAGGTAATGATCAACCAGGCCACACTTTGCCTGGGACTATTTAATTATGCGTACCTCTCTCCCTCTGCCTCAGATCTTCCTCTATTGAAACCTAATGCTCAAGTCAGTGCCCCCGAAGATGGGGTGAAATGCTACTTTGCCTCCCTCTTTCCACATGTGATCCTTGTCACATGCAATAAATGTGATAAATCTCCCTTCTCTGCCTGTCACCACCACTTGCCTCTTACTTTGGTGTATGGAGGTGAGTGGCTGGACCTGACATATGGAACCCCTGGAGCTGGGCCTCAGTCAGAGGTCTTTGGTCCCAAAACTCAGCTTAGGGAGATAGAAGAAGCCACTTGTGCAATAACAGGGGAGCCTAGGCAGAGAGGAGGTGGCGGGGGTGGGGGTGGGGGAGGGAACAAGGTGGATAGGACTGGTGGGAGATGCTCCTGAGGCAGCCAGAGGTGGCACAGGGGTTGAATGGTGGTCTTCCAAAAGACACATCTGTGTCCCAAACCTATGAATGTAACCTTATTTGGTAAAAGGGTCTTTGTAGATATCATCAAATTAAAGATCTCAAGATGAAATTTCCCTAAGGATATTTGTCTTTATAAAAGATGAGGAGGGGAGAGGGGAGGGGAAGGAGGAGAGGAGAAAAGGCAGAGCCCATAGGAAGACCAGGGCAGACACAGGAGTGATGTGCGTGTGGCTGGTGAGGTGAGGCTGGAGCAAACAGAAACTGAAAGGGGTGCAGGACTCTGATCCTTGTGGATTCCAGACTTCTGGCCCCCAGAACCTGAGGGAACAGCTTCTGCTTGAAGTCATGCAGCTTGTGGTAATTGTTAGGGGGCCCCAGGGAAGCACTGCAGGTGGAATCCCGAATCTGGACCCGCACTTCGCTCTCTGAGCAACTTGGGGGAGTAAATTGCCGAACCTCTCTGAGCGAGCCAACTTCCTCATCCAGTACTGGCAGTAAGATGTAGCTCGTGGATCCAGTTGACAGATATTTGCCAAGGATGTGTGAGATGCCAGGAGTGACATTTGCCTCTGGTAGGGCCCCACAGTGAGGAAGCAGTCACCAAAGCATCCCAGAAGGAAGTGGCACTGCACTGTGGTCCATGCCAGCAGGCTGGGAGGCTCCCGGGGACTGAGCGGTGTGGGGAGAAAGGAAAGGGGAAAGACAGCAAGGCCAAGGTGGCACAGAAGGTCCAGGGCACTCAGGAAGCTGCTCAGAAGGCAGGAGAATGGCTGAGGCCATGGCGATGAGGAGACTGTATTGAAAAAGGAGGTGAAGGCCACCAGTGTCTCAAGAGCTGCATCTGGGGACTGGCCTCCCTCCCAGGTACAGTGAAAGCCTGGGGCCGGTCCAAAGGCAGGGGGGCAAGAGTGGCCAGACGGGCATTGGGAACAATCATGTCAGATGCCTTTGGAGAACAGGCTACTGGCCAAAGTGACAGTGAGCAGACTCCAGCTGTCATCCAGGAAGGCATGACAGTGGTTAAGTCCAGGGTGCTGGGTAATGGGGAAGGGGTCAGATTCAAGAGCAATGTAGGAGGAAGAACCATGGGATCTTTGTGAGAGGAAGAGGAAATGAACGTTAAACAGTGTCACACAGTGCTGACCATGGACACAGGGTTACCTGACCCTCCCTGTGCCTAGCTTGGGCTACCCATAGGTGGCAGCACCTGTCACTGGCTTCTCTTGCAACCACAATACACATAGCTTAGCAAATCAACTTACCATCCTTGAGTGAGAAGCTCAGAAGATCCTGCAGGGAAAGGAAAGTTAGCAATGAGGAGCTGACAGGTAACCGCATGTGACAGACAGTTACTGATTCCAGCCAGGATGGAGAGCAAGATGGACAAAACCCTCAGCCCTATAGGACAGCAGTGAAGCAAGACAGAAAAACCTGCCTGGTGGTCATGCCTGTAATCTCAGCACTCAAGGTTGAGGCAGGAGGATCATGAGTTCAAGGCCAGCCTGGGCTATGCAGCGAGACCATGTCTCAAAACAATGATAAATAAGCATATAAGTAAGCAAGAATGTGAGGACGTCAGTAGTGAAGTAAAGAGGAGAGGGGGCTGCTTTACATGTATGCACATGGCCGCCAGCAACTCATGTCACAAGCTTTTACCTGCTTTAGCTGCAGAGGAGCAGGTGACTGACATGCCAAAGACCACACAGCAAAGCTGCAGCTTCAGGAAAGAGGCACCACAGTTTAGTAGAATGCAGGCTCTAGAATTAGACCTTCAAGGTTCAAATCCTGACTCGGCCACTTACTAGCTGTGTGACCTTGGGCAAATTACTTAGCCAATCTGTACCTTAGTTTTTTCAAGTACAAAATGGGGATGATCATACAGGTTGAGTTTCCCTAGTCTAAAAAAATCCAAAATCTGACATTTTTTCAGTAGCAACATGGTATCACATATGGAAAATACCAGACCATGAAACTCTATTTCATGCACCAAATTATTAAAATGACTGCATAAACTTACTTCAGACAATGTGCATGAGGTCCGTACAGAGCATAAATGAATTTCATGTACAGACTTGGCTCCCATCCTCAGGATATCTCATTATGCACATCCAAATATTCCAAGGCCTGAAAAAAATCTGAAATCGGGAACACTTCCATTTGCAAGCATTTTGGATAGGGGACTCTCCACCTGTAGTCCCTACTCACAGAGTAGTTTGAGAATTAAATGAGTTAATTTTTGTTGAGGTACTGGCACATAATTGCCACACGAGCATTAAATAGACAGTAAGTATTCAACAGTGATAACTCAACATCAGTTGTGATCGCCACCACGATATATTAGGACAGAATATATATGTATAAACATGTGTGTAGACATACATACATATTTTTTGGTGGTATTGGGGTTTGAACTCAGAGCCTTGCACTTGCTAAAAGCAGGTGCTTTATCACTTGAGCCATAACCCCAGCTCTTTTTGGCTTTAGTTATTTTTCACATAGGGTCTCAAGTTTTTGCCTACAGCTGGCCTCAGACCTCGATCCTCCTATCTATAGCCTCCTACATAGTTGGGATTGCAGACATACATCACTGTACCTGGCTTATTGGCTGTGACAGAGTCTCACTAACTTTTTTGCCTAGGTTGGCTTGGAACCACCATTCTCTTGTTCTCTGTCTCCCAAGTAGCTGGGATCAAAGGCATGAGCCACCACACCAGAAGTATGGAATATTTTGCAACCACCCATCCCACTAGAAGCAATTTCCAGACAGACTTAGAAAGGAAATGACTTGTTCCCCAGTTCCCAGCATCTGCCACCCAGGTGTGAGGTGTACCTGAGTGATCACAGATGGGTCACCCTTCAAGATGGGGTCCTTCGATAGAGACTGAGCAAACATGTCTGCTCCCTCGCCTCCCAGGCCACTAGCAAAAGCAGTCATGGTTGGCAGGACGGCTTCGGACAACTCCAGCCACTTCACCAGGCCCTCCACAAGCTCTGTGCAGAAGGAGCTGAAAGAGACATTGCTTAGACTCTGGAGCTTTGGGGAACCGGAAAGCTCACCGTTCCATGGACTTGAACAGTGGCCACATCCAAAATGGTGACTGTGATTCAGGAAATACAGATGGTCAAAACTGAATTTTAGGTGGTGTGGATTTTACCTTTTGCTCCCACAAAACCTTGACCTCTCGAGAGGCAGGTGAGCCACACGCCGGGGCCTGGGCCATGCTGGGGGCCAAGGCCCCTAAGGGGAAGAAGACGTGGTTTCTGATGAGGCTCACAGTGGGGTGGAGACGCTGGCAGAAAGAAACCACCATGCCATGTGGTGCCCAAGGGCAGAGGCAGGGACTGAGTGCTAAGCAGCACAAAGAGGCCCCCAGCTCCATGGAGGACATGGGTGAGGGCAACCCCAGATGCAGCATGCTTTCTGGAAAATCACCAGGCCTTGCAGAGGTGGACAAAGTGCAGAGGAAGAGTGCCCACCTCTGGTCACCATGGGCACCAGCATGGGGTTTGCTGTCTACAGCAGGAACGTGGGGGAGTCTGGGGGGCCACCATAGAGAAGAGGAGGGCCAGGAGCTGGGGCAGGAGCACACAGCATTTTGGGAATCATGGTAGTCACATCAGACTTGTGATGCAGGTCACCCTCTGTGGAGTTGGGAGTTGGGTGGAGATAAGAGTGTGTGTGTGGTGGGGGGGCGGATCTGGGGAGCAGGGAAGTTACATGTCTCCCAGACACACAGACAGCTCCTGGTGGTGGTGGACCTGCCCTTATACCATGCAGCCCACCCATCCCATTCCTTGCAGCTATTGTTGAGCCTCTGAGGCCAGGGCTGCTGACGGGTGGTAAGGAGCTTGGGTTTGAATCCTGGTGTCACGGCTGCTGTGATGGGTGCTAGAAAGCTGGTCTTAGGGGAGCAGGGCAGCGCAGAGGGAGCTGCGAAGCCATCTCCAGGGACGTGTCATCCAGTCCCATTGGGAGTTCTGAAAGCCCACCAGCGGCATCAGACAGTCACTGGACTCCGGTACCTCAGGTACTTTGAGGTACTCAGCTCTCTGAGGCTGAGGCAGGCTTCAAAGGAGACAGGCAACTCAAGGCAGGGCTGGCAGCCCACCCTTCACTCCTGAAAGGGGAGCTAAGTGGCACAGTGCCTTGGGAAAGTAACCTGATCTCTCTGTGCCTCAGTGTCCTTATCTGAAAAATGGGTTTAAGAGACCAATGTCCTAAGGCTGGTTGAGGGCATGCAGAAAATGCACAATTCTAATGTACAAGGTAACCAACAGCAGTGGTGGGAAACAGGGAGAATCACTCTGATGTCCACCCACCTGGGGGACCCAGGCTGCCCCCGGGAGTGCCTCATGTCACCAGTTCTCCTCTCTCAGCTTCATTTTCCTGTGCTGTTAGATGCAGATGATAGCAGACTCGGAGGTGGGTGGGAAGATAAAATGCCCAACGGCACCTGGCAGCTGCGAACCTGCAGTAAACGTTATCTACCACTATTGCCATTAGATAGCAAACACTGTTGAACCTTACTGGGATCAACTGGATGACATGGGTGTGGACAGGGATGACCTCGGGAAGGACTAAGGGAGGTGGACATTATTTAGGGGTCCATCGGTACACAGAATGGCTCAGGGCCAAGAGCAGCACCCTGGCCTGCTATCCGTGAGAATGTCTTGGATCTTCATAGAGAAGCATCTTGTAACAACAGCGCAGGAGTCAAGAGCACAGGCTCTGGTTCAAGTCCCAGCTCTGCCAGCAGCTGTGTGATCCTGGATCAGTTATTTTACCTCTCTGTGCCTCAGCTTTTTAAATCTAAGAAATAGTGGTGATAATGATGAAACTAGAGTTTGCTGGAGGGACTAACTAAGGACTCAACTGTCACATGCTTAGAGCAACACCTGGCACACATAAGGTACCATCTGTGTATTTATTTAATGGACAAAGGAATATATATATCAGTGTGGCAATTTACCAAATGGTCATAGTCAGGTGAGCCCTTGGCAGTGTGGTTGGTGGTCTGGTTTTAACACATGAAAATCCACAGCAACCGTGAACAGCTGATCAGTCCCTGTGCTAAGTACTTTGCACAGGGTGCTTGCTGAATTCTTGCCCCAACCCCACAGGGGAGGGAGGTTCTATTTCACCCCCCTTAGAGATAGGGAAACCCAGATCCAGAGCTATCAGAGAACAGCTCCAAGTCCATGCCTCTATCTCTCCATCTCCAGCGGCCATGCTTACACACTGTGGAGATGGCCCCTCTCTGGTGACTACACTGCTGTCACCATGTGCCTGTCACTCACTAAGCATGGGCACTGATCATCCCTATTATCCTTCTCCACCTTACAGGTGGGGCACCCGGCTGCAGAGGTTCAAGGTCTCCAGTGTCTCATAGCAGGGCAGGGCTACAGCCTCCCCTGGAATCTGGCCTTCCTCACTCCTAATCCAAAGTTCCCTTTTAACCAGAGTTGGCAACTATAACCCTGGAAATCTGGCCCATCACCTCTTTTTTATAAATAAAGTTTTATTGACGCACAGCCACATTCATTCCTATCTATGGCTGCTTTGAGGCTACAACAGCAAAATTGAGTAACTGTGACACAGACCCCATGGCCTGTGAGCCTAAGATATATGACCCTTGGCAGAAAGAGTGTGCTGACCTCTGTCTACCCCACCAGTTTCTCTCTCTCTCT